AAACAGTCAAATAAAACATTTCCATAATATATTAAACATATTCAAGAACAAGATTAACAACAAAAGCTGCATCAGATTCTGTCTATTCTCATTACTGTTTCCTGCTGTACATGTACAATGCAGCAAAATGCTCCATTAGATGTGATTAGATTTGATGGTTTCAATTGGATCAAATCAAATTAAATGCCCTGCACTGGGCTTTAGAGTGCTCAGTCAACAGTAGAGGGTGAAGGAAAGGCTGCAGGCACTACTCTGACTTGCTCTGATTGATGGAGGAAGAGGAAGGACGAGAGAGGTACATATAAACACAGAGAACACGAGAGGAATTTTAAAGCTGGAGAGTAGAGAGGAAGCTGAAGAAGACAAATGAAGTTATTGTCTTTATCAGTCTCTAATGTGTCAGTGTTTCTGATGTCACGACTCAAATGGGGTTTCCTTAGTTGTTATGAAACCTGATCATATCAAGGTAGGAAACTGAAAATTAGGCCAAAGCACAATAAGTCAAAGTGGGACTCAACACAATGGTCAATCAAATAATAGCATAATAGTAGGTTGGTTAAATCACTTTGTGGGTTTATAGTTGTACTGTATTTGTGAGTGACATTTAAAACTGAGTTATAAAGGCACTACCTTTATTTTTTATATGGACACGTAGCACCTGTCTGGCAGAGCAGACAAAGCCACTTCCATCAAGACACACACACACACACACACACACACACACACAATGAACAAGGTAGGACAGGATGAAAAAAATGAGTAGTTCTTCCTTAGGAAATACTATTCATAGCCAAGTAAATAAAGTCATTAGAATAGCAGGAAGTCCACCTCTGCCAGACTGTTTTGGATTGGCAGGGGTGTTTGGAGGCGTTGTGTGTGTTTATGAGTGTGAAAATCTGTAGCATTTTTTTTTTTGTAACTACAGTCTAAAAAAAATGTATGTCAAATGTCGCATTTAATTAAACACAAATATGCAGTTCCTTAACTCTGTATTATTAGTCTGCATTATTTTTAAGTGCATACTTGTTTAACATAACCTTTATATATGGTCTAGTTGCAAATAATGCCATAAAAGTTCCTCGTTTTAGCTGCAATTGCCATAAAAGAAAATAAAAAAAAAAATCCTTCATTTTTCCCTCCTGTCTGAAAGTGGATGAGATGTAGGACTACTGTACCTCAATGCATTAGCAAAAAAAGAAATTTTCTTCATACCCAATTTATATTAGGCCAATAAAATGTATATGGAAAGAAAAAAAAGTGAGATGACATCTCAGAGACTGGAAAAAGGAAGAGAAAGTGGAAAAAAATTTGAGATGGCTAAGTGGGTGTTGTTACAATGATTGAGTCTTTTCCTGCCAGATCAGAGGCCTGTCAGATGCTAAAGCCCTCCAGGACCTCCTGGAGAGACTGGCTTGTAAGAAAAGGAGGGATGTGAGGGCTGGAGGGTGGGGGTGGTTTGCATGAGGGGAAAATAAGGAATTGTGTGAATCTCCCTGAGAGGAGAGAAATCATTTTATTGGTAAAAAAAAGCAACAACAATAGTTTCCTTTAAAATGTACATGTAAAGCAATGATAGTGATGTTATTGTTGCCCTTTTTTTCAGATTTTCTGCAAAACAAAATTGATTGGGGCTTGACTTGGGACTTAGGTCTGATATACTATATTTGAAACATCTTAGAATTCAACTTTTGGTCTGACAGGATATGACTGTTCAGTTTAAAAAAAAAAAACAGGATTATTGATTCTCTCCTCTGCTCTCCTGTACATGTTATTTTTCTCCTCTCACACTCTGATTTCTTTCCCCCTCTCCAGTCTCCTCTGAGAGGTAAACTGCAAATGACCTTGATTCCCCACCCTTATCTTATTCTTTGTTTCCTTTGTTGTTACATCTTCAGCAGCATCTCACAGCAACATAAGAGACAAGATGATTGGAGAGGAAACAGAGATGTGATGAAGGGGAAAATAAAAAGAAAAGAAAGCATCTGTCTGACAGCAGATGGGGTTTTGAAACTCCTCGTGGACTTAACAGCACATAGCAATGAAGAAAACACCCGCTTGAATAGAAAGAAGTAAAAATATGCCAGAAAGAGAATAAAGTTCTCTTTTTCACTTCCCTTCCCCTCTTTTCCACAGTCTTTCATGCTCTTGACCTCCAAAGAACCAAGGCTGTGTAGACTCTTGTTTTTAGAGCTCTCATGGGAATAGTGAGGCGCATGAGAAGAAGAGCTTCAACAGATACATGTGGGCAGGACAGTGTGGGAGGAATTCACTCTCACTGTGTTACTGGGGTAATTCCCTCAACTAGAGGTTAGACTGATATAAAGGGCCTGTGATGGATACGATTTACTGCAGTCTTAATCAGTACTCAGGTGTTCTGAGGGAAGTTATCCACCTCATCTGATTAAAGTGTGACATTTTAAAATAGATTCCAGTCAAGAATACATGAATTTTGAACACTTCATTTATACTGCAAGCCAGAGTTTTTACTGTTGAATGTTGGTGGAGTTTAAAAGATTTTTGACTTCAAACGTGCTTGTAGTTGAATATACTAAATGTAAATTACATAAAATATCTGTATTTAGCTGATGTCATTCAAACATTTTGGTCTTGTTTGCATCATATCCAGATCCCATATTCAGTTTAATTCACAGTTCAATAGTTTTTGTTTTCTTAGCTGATGGATGGTCTATCCAAATTATATGGTTTTTTTTATTGTATCCGCCATATGCATAAGCATAAATATCTTTACTCTATATTACCCTTAACTGGTTTCCCTTCGTCAGTATAAAACACTGCTACTCTCCGATTAGTTCAGTCTGCAGCCATAGCCTACATGGCCCCAGTCTTTTTAACTTTCTCCCAAGTTCCTCACCTGGGAGCAGTTTCACTCTTGTTTCAACTCTCATGTCCAGCCCAGTCCTAACTACTGAAAATGAACCAAAGAGCCTTATTCTCTTGATAGATTCTGTCTGAAAATAAATTACAGAGATGAGTAATATCATATATTTGATGTTTTTACATGTGTTGCACATTATTCATTTTGTCTTACGTGAGAAAAAAAATACTATGTAAAAAGCCCATGTGTAGCAGTTCATTACTGACCATTGCACATACAGTTTAGTTCTTGCTGTATTCTAGCACTTTGGTTGCAGTTTTTTTTTTCTGATGGTTCAGTCTGAAAGCAGGATAGCATGTGGTCTCATCAGACTGGACAGTGGCCTCTGACCCTAATGGGCCCCGGTCGATAATTAGTTTCTGACAGCCAAGCTTGGTCCACTGATCCCACTTCCTTTTCACCCACATGCAGCGACACTAAACTCTGACTATTCCAGCCCTGGAAGTCAGTCCCCCAGATGCTATATTCCAATCTCAGGCTTTGGGCTGAGCTTTGTGGAGGAGGGGGCGCTGCATTATCCTTCCAGGACAGCCCTGAGACAAACGAGGTGTGTGGAGCTGAGCACAGCTGCTCCTGCTGTGAAACTACTGCCACCACATACACATATGTAAAAACACACATATACACACCATTCTCATAAATCACTACAGCTGCCTCTGTCGGCCAGCCTGTACTCGCCCAGTGTTAAAAGCCAATCAGAAAAATTACATGCAAACTCCAAGGGACCTATTTTCACTTTCTTAAGAAATCATTAGTCAGTGTTGTGAGCTTTGACATCCACAGTCACCTGCTGCAGACCCAGTGCCTGCCCCCCTCCCCCCTCCCCCGCACAGAATTGACAACTGCACATGGGCTGCCCTGGTTCCCATAGCTCCCTAGGAAATAATGGTGGTCCCAACAAAAACAAAATTGCAAGGGGAGGGAAAAAAAGGTTGGAAAATGTACAGTAAAAACAGGGAAGAGTATGTCATTATATAGAAGGGGAGATTTTTCACATTCATATAACACATTGCGAACACCCTGAGAATTGTAATTGCATCCTATTGTCTTTTCATTGTCCATTATGTTAATAATGGTGAACTTTGCTCCTTTCTTCATTGCCATTGCTGTACCAATGCCTTAAGATGACAGAGCAGAAAGTGCTATGACCAACAATGACTCATAATGTTGTGCATTAAAGGAATAATACAAACTATATCTAGTATTGGTGCGAGGTGTCTGTTAGTCAGGTACAGGGGAAACTCAAGCAGGGGGAAAAAATACTGAACACCACAAACACCACAAAGCAAATAACAGTTACAGCATCCATATGTTTACCTGGGTGTGGTGCTGGCTGTGATTTTGAGACTACCAGGGTTGCGGATGAGTTTATCCAGGATGCTGACTATCTGTTCAAACCTAGGCCGATTGTTCCTCTCCTTCTGCCAGCAGTCCAACATCAGCTGGTAGAGGGTGGCCGGGCAGTCCATGGGTGGAGGGAGGCGGTAACCCTCATCTACAGCTTTAATTACCTTGATGTAGGAAGGAAATACAAGATTGAAAAATGCTGTAGGTGTTATTGCAACAACCGAGTTTTCAGTTTTGGTTTTGATACTTTGAAGGGTTAATGGAAGCCGCTACGTCTTTAACTTCAGTGCCAACAGTATATTCTATCTACAGTACCCTACTGAATCTATAAGTCTACATTCTCTTGTTTGCATCAGCATGCGTCATAAGCCCATCCACATAATTCTGAGTTAAACAGCTCATCTAAATCAGTTGGAGTTGCTGGTACCTTCACTTACTTCCCATCAGGGAAACTTGTCAAATGTGCCAAGCTGGCAGTGGATGAGCCACACAGATGCCTCTTCTAAAGAAAGTGAACTTGGCAGTACTTACATCCTGATTGGACATTTCCCAGTATGGCCGTTCCCCATATGACATCACCTCCCAGAGCACAATGCCATAACTCCAGGCATCACTGGCTGAAGTAAACTTCCTGTAGGCAATAGCCTCTGGAGCTGTCCACCTGATAGGGATCTTACCTCCCTGAGAGACAGAAAGAGAAATTAATCAGTCATTTGACTAGTCAGTCTTTCAATCAGTCAGTCAGACTATGGAATAATTCAGGTTAACTTTTGAGCATGAAATTCACAAAAGACCACAGACATCAGACATAGTGTTTCACATAATAATATCCTCCAATATACAGTAACAACTGCCAGGATATTGGCTGACAATACTATATTTTAGTGTCAGGTTATGGTATATTTTTTAAAAAAAGGACTGCAAGTCTATACTACAAGCATATACCATACTGTATGTAATATTGCATATAGCTGGGTTTAGCTTATGTCACATGCAAAGGCCTACATGTTCCTTCCAACAATTTCATGAGCTGTTCTGAAAGTCTTCAGCACATATGGCTCAGTGGTTTGGACTGAGCTTGATGATTTCAATTTCAGATTCAGAACCGTAACAGTTATCAGAAATATTACTATTATTATTTCCACTGTGGTGTGGAGGACCTACAGTGAAACCCGCTTCACGTTGCCTCGAGGAGCTACAGAGCCACATAATAGTACGTTCTGAGCTTGAGAATTCAGAAGAGAATTTTTGGGCCCTATTGATTAATTTTCTTTCCCATAATGGCAAATGAATATTCCAACAAAAATATGTGTTATTGAAATATGTTTCTAAATATTTGAGTATTTGAAAATAAATTCTTATAATATTATAAAGAAGCAGTGAACCTTAGTGTAACAAAAAATATTAGTCATGCTCACTTTTAATCAAAAGGTACGAACATCTGCCTTATATAAACTAAAGAAAAACAAACGGCATAATCTCTTACTGTAGTGCCTGCTGCAGATGACATTCTAGGACCTAAGGAGCAAAGCTTAACAGAGATATCTGCCAAGTCACCTAGCTTTTGGCTGGCGCTGTGCACCACACACACACACACACACACACACACACACACACACACACACACAACCCTCTACGAAAAGACACCCTTATACTGCTTGATCCATAAGGCAACACTGAGAGGATGTAAAACGTACAATCACAGATGATTGCAAAAATGAATGCGGGTGCACAGAGAAACACAACACACACAAACATAAAAACACCCATAGTGCACCTACCAGCCTTGATCAGTGAGGGATGAATAGGAATCTGTTAGCATGTGTGGATTATTGTCAGTTACTATAACATGGTAGGGTTTATTATTGTAAATGTATGATTTCAGATTATATATTTATGTGAGAGGCAAATGGCGCAATGTTTATTTGACAAGCAATTCACAGCCAGCACATTTAAAAAGGCTGCACTCATGGCCTAAACCAAAAGACCCTGTGATAATAATGAACACAGACTCACATACACAGACACACTGCAAAAACTCATAGTTGAGTGCCTGTAGAGCCTGTAGTGCCTGGAGCTTTTTCATTTTGTGACATTTTGCGACAAGAACTGAAACAAGAGAAAACATGGTCAGTCTAACTGCCACCTTTCCAAAAATCAAATTATCCCACCTTATTGGTCAACCACCTAGACCTTTCCTTGCCTATTGTGTTGTAAGAGTTGTAAAGTTGTAGTGACCTTTAACAGATGTCATAAAGCCTCAGTAGACAATTTGGGATCAAATCGAAGTATCGGTGCGGATGCTGAGGTGGCAGATGGGTCAGCAATACATTTGACTGTGCAAACAAACACAACCGCTTATCAATGCAGTGCATTCCTTCGGGGCACACAGAGCTTGGAGTGGTCCCCTCTATGACCCAGTTGATTTATGTTTTCTGTGCAGGAGAGGACTGATGCTGACCTTATCACAGTTTCTGTGTTCCTCTCCTTTACCATGAATGGAAGAGGAATGCAGAGGAGGCTCTGGGATTAGTTCAGTATATAGTACATTATGTGTGTGTGAGAGAGCAGGAGAGAATGGAGGTGTAAATGTGCAGTCCATTAGTGTCTGCATTATATGAAGTCAGTTTGCATCATGACAATAAGTTGGACATCTGTGTTGTCAGGATGTGTTGTTTCCATAACATTGCTTTTACACTAACTAACACACTCCTAAAAAAAAAAGTCTGCTGCAGGACTCTGCCAAACGTATTTGTTCATGCTGTCATTTATGTCTCCAGCTTGTGTTTGTGCTCCAACTCACCCTGGTGGTGTAAGCGGCCTCTGGGTCGTCCTCCAGGATTCTTGACAAGCCAAAGTCTGACACTTTACACACCAGGTTGCTGTTGACTAGGATGTTTCGAGCTGCCAGGTCTCTGTGAACGTAGCCCATGTCTGACAGATACTTCATGCCTGAGGCGATGCCACGCAGCATGCCAACCAATTGGATGCTTGTAAACTGGGCATCATGTTTCTAAAAGAAAAAAGAAAAAGACATTTGAAAAATGAAAAGAAGAAAGACACGCTTTGTTAAGGCCACATTTTGAATGTATATTATATAGAACACAAAGGGAGTCTGACCTTTCTGACTATTTGCATAAAACAAAACATTTCTAACTTTCCATCCACAGCATTTTCATTAACCTTTAAAAACCACCTTTGACATTCTGCACCTCATTTTTTGCTCAACTGTGAAATCCCAAAGCTTGAGATACAGTAATGTATGGAAATCAGGATCAGACCAATATGCAACTTAAATATTCTTTCTTTTTCAGTCAGTCTCCTTACTGTTATCCACTATGATGAAATTTTATTACATACTATAGATGCTTAAAGTACCACATATAATGCATTTATTAAAATGTATTAAAATGTTGAGAGATGTGTTTATAATGCAAACTGTGAAGATCTCAGTGAGATTACTGACGGGATTATTTATAGCTCTACAAAATGTTTGCAAAGTAGTTAGATGGATCTTTTAAAGCGAGACTGAATCAGATATACTGTAAACATAAAAAAACTTTTTGTTCTGTTTGCATTGGCAAGTGGGAGTGTTTACATTGGCTTACACTGGCAAGTGTTTCAGAGTAAGCTTATATGTTCTGTGATTCACTGCTGATGTCTGGTTGGGGTAAAAAAGTAACAATATAAACAAAGGAGACACGAGCAGCAGAAGCTGGGGATGACAAAATGACATTAGACAGCAACAAAATTTGACCAAGTATACAATATGTTCCTATCTACATCTGTGGTTGTTTTTGCTCAGGGTTAGCACTAGGCACCATTGAGCATGTGAGTGAGTACAGTTACACTGTTTGCATTTCCATCCATTGCTCTTCACATGTACTGGTTTGCTCTGTGTTTGTGAAAGACCACGTCATTGGCAAGGGGAGTGTAAGATGAGTATGTTTTCCTTTGAAAACCAACTGGCCTACCTCACCTCTCATTTTGTCTGGGGCAATTAGTGGCCAGACCACCTGGCTTAGTCACTTCAAAGCATTCCAGATTCAGAACACAAACATAAGTTGCACTGTATATTCTATAAATTTGCATATGTGTGTTTGTACATGACACATTTTCAACTATAAAGCACAGGCCTTTGGGAAAATGTCAGGAAACAACAGTTACTTGTCCTAGATGTGTCTAGATGCTGTGCAGACACATGTGGAAAAGAGCTAAAACAAGCATCAGTACATGTGCATTCATGCCAGTGTTGTGGCTTGGCTGTTGTACTTTGGCTAATTTCAGTGAGGCGGGTCTATTCCTCTTTAAGAGGCAAAGACGCAGCAAGAATCAAATTCACTCCTGGCTAGAAGAGCAGTGGGGATACAGCTCATGAAACCTAGTCATTTGATAACCCCTGTATGGGGAGCAGCTGCAACGGTCAGAACTGCTAAAATAAGCCAGTATTAGGTGCAGCATTTACTGGAAACTACAAAGTGGTCCTAAAACTTTTTTTTTTTTTGTGCCACATCTGCTACTTGATAGCATCCAGAAGGGTTTGATCATGCACAGAGGCACTGAAAGCAGAGGACAGCATTCATACACACCTATTTTATTCCTACTCTTATAATAAGACTTTCAGCACTTGCTCAAGTGCAAGATATTATTTTCACTACATTGAGGTGGTCCCCTGGTGTGCGTTCCTTACTTATCAGCTAGCCACCAAGCGTGCGTTGCTCCAGCTGCCTCTGGTTGCACCATGCAACACTATGATGCATTACAATCTATTTCCAAACTCCAAAAGTGTGTGTTTGTTTGTGTTATTGCTTACTCTCAATAAGCTGTCCAGGGATCCATTCTCCATGTATTCTGTGACAATCATGACGGGTTTGCCTGTGGAAGAAAAAAAGATTTATGTTTACATGTCACGTGATATTTGTTGTATTACTCACAAAATGGGTGAAATGACTTCAATTTGATCAACTGTACAAGCCAAAAAAAGAGACCCATATATCAGATTGATTATCTGAAACTCAAAGACATAACTATTCAAGTCCTCCACCCTAAATGACAAGGAATATAGAACCCTTCAGTGGCACACTTACCAGGCCTTTGTCATCATAGAAACAGCCAATGATGGTTTAATTAGGTTTATGCATACACCTTGTTTATGTTTAGGCACACACACTACTTGGTTAGGTTAAACTATTGTGGTTTGGGTTAAAATAAATTTGCTGTAATAGTTATAGTAATAAAAACCTGGCTAAGACAGTGGGGTAAAAACACATCACACACATATTGTGCACCAATTTCCTGTGTGAAAATCCTGTCTTTGTGATCCATTTATCCACCCCAACCCTTTGGCTCTTTACATTCTACTGTATGTCACCTAATTTCTTCCTTTGCTCTTATCGTAATTATTATGTTTGCTGGAGGTTGCCTAACTGTAGTATGTTACTGGAGGTCATTATACATAGCTGGCACATGGAGTCGCTTTTTATAAGAAGACAGTCTCTCAATAGACAGGGCCCCCCCCCCCCCCCCCCACACACACACACACAGAGCTAGCTCAGTCATAGTTTTAGAGTTTAGACAGGTCAGCTGTCAAAGCGTGACATCTTTATTTCAGTGGAAGATTTTTCGGTGAATCCACGCTGCCTGCTATCATCTGTACCTGATCAGACTATGACCAACACAAGGTTTATTACTGGGGGAGAAAAGAAAAAAGATGTCTTTTAGAAACCTGTAAATCAGCCATTGTTAAATGAACAGCGTCGGTGTCAAGACGTATTTGTGTCACATATGGCTTTGTTCTCCCTCTTTCACTCTTGACTTACCAGGCACCTTATGCTTCCTCTCTGTTTTATTCTGATTTATGTGCCCCTCTCACTGCCCCACACCTCCTGTCATTCTTGATCTACCTTTTCTCTATCATCCCGCTCTTT